CCAAGGAAATTCGAAATAAAATAGCCGATAAGCGGCGCCTGAGGCGTATCTGGTAGCAATTGCGGCATCAGTCAGACAGAACCATACTTAATAATATGATGCCCGATATGACCCGGATAGCCATCATGATATAAAATTTCAGCAAGTTTAGCAGTAGTGTAGCAGTGGTTTTCTCGTGATGTGTTCCCTGACAGACAGACAAAAATTCAACAAACTATAGATTCGGTCTCTGTAGCGATAATAATGACTATTTCAATAATATTATCCATATATCGATAGATCAATCCATATCTAAGATAGATAGATATCCATATATATGTATTTATTAATTCGTAGAAGTGAAGAAATCTGATCCAAAGTATATTATTATTTTCGCTAATTAATTCCGTTGTGTTACTATAAATAGCCCAAATGTAACGTGTGGGAGAGAAAGAATTTATTGTGACCGGTGATGAAGCAATTTTGCTAGGGCGAATGGCGAGAGGGTCACTTCGGCACGATCACTACTGCATTTTTGTTAATGGCTCTCGATCTCGACGGTAAAAGTTTTAGCGTTTATTATGTTTCGAACAAGTTTATGACCTGTTGAAATATCAACAATGCTTCGTATCCCTTTTGAAGAGCTTTTAACCAAGGGTCCTACTGATTATTATATGCTTGACATTAATAAAACTGTTATCATTATTTAGGATAGATAAAAAAAATTTTTTCGCAAAAATTAACCGAATGATTTCATTATGCAAGTACTATTTTTGAGAAAGAAAATATTTTTTACTTTATATGAAGTTGTAAAATTAAGATATCTAGTTATTCATATGAAGTCAGTTAGTATTTTTTAAATAGTAATTTCAACTAAGTAGGTAAATAATATAAAACACTAGCATTGCCCGCGGCTCCGCCCGCGTTCAGATGACCAAAAACCAAATTCTTAGGTTTTTAACCGACTTTCAAAAACGAGGAGGTTCTCAATTCGTCGTAATCTTTTTTTTTATGTATGTTCACCGATTACTCGAAGACGCCTGAACCGATTTGGAAAATTTTTATTTTGTTTGAAAGGGTATACTTTCCCGGTGGTTCCATATAAATTTTATCGAAATCGGTTGAGCGGTTTTTAAAAAAATCAACAATAAACTTTTTTTTTAAACAAATTGTTTAATCGAATATGTTATTAAAAAGTTTCTTCCTACAAATTACCTGCTTATTACGTCTACACTAAAAATATAAAAATAAAAACTTTTTAACAAAAAACAAAACCGACTTCCAGGCACTAAAATGTAAAAAATAACTAAACGGGGGTTTTCATTTAGAATAGATACCTAATCAGATATTTTCGAAGTCGGTGCCAGCGGACAATATTTTAAGATATGAATATCTAATATGTAAATATGTATTTAACGTATCAAAATAAATTAGATTTCCTATGCATCGGCTGGCACCAACCTCGAAAATATCTGATGAGATATCAATTCTAAATGAAAACCCCCGTTTAGTTGTTTTTATACATATTAGTATACTCTTACATTGAGTTTTTGTATTTTTTCCAAAAAATGAGATATTTTCCCGCGGTAAAAAGTATCCTATATGTTGACCCGGATAACCAGCTATCACCACCAAATTTCATTAAAATCCCTCAAATGGTTTTTCTGTGATGAGGTAACAGACTGACAGAGAGACCTCTGTATCGATAATAATGTATATTTCAATAAGATTTTCCAAAAAATATCTAATGTACAGATTACGGCTTAGTTACTATTTTATTATATGTATAGATTAAAAATTAGAATTACTCTTAAATATCTAATATCTATATGTCAAAAATATCCAGTCATAATAAATTATTTTCAATCTGTATTATATAAGTTTATGCTTACTAACGATTAAAAATGCAATCATAGTTTTAAAAATAGTATTTTAAATGTCCAAACACATTTCATCAACGACGAGGACGAGGGAGATGGTGCTAACTGTACCATTCCTTCTACTCTTTCTATCTGCTATCATTATATTATATTTGATTATTTTTTATTACTTTCCTTCGCTCATAACTTGCGGCATATTGTTGTCCCTTCACAAAGGGCAGTACACAGGGGGCGACGACAACCCCAAATAGAAAGGGATCCGAGAGAAAACTTTGGCTGTCCTTTTGTTGCGAATCTCATAGAAGTTAGTTTGGCCCTCATATGTATAGGGAATCATTTTATCGGACGTCAGATCGAAGCGACATGTATTGATTATAAATATTTTTCACACTTAAATAGACTCATAGAGTACAATATTATCAAGTTTTTTCTACATCAATACATATTTCTAAGGTAGTTTTAACAATCTAAGCAGTGTATATCTAGTAATAATTTAAAATATGATATTATTTATGATTAATATTGTTATTGCTACATATATATACCATGTAAGAGGAAATGAGAGATGATATTTAAGCACATCTTAAAGTGCCACATACTCGGAGTACAGGAACAGTATTGATTTTCGTAAAGCTTTGCATGGCCCTAACTTATACCTGTACAGAGTTCTCAATTGAATAGACAAATACTTTCAAGTATATACACTTATAGAACTTTTCTTAATATGTATTTATATGCGTATAATCTCTTTCTTATAGGTGATGAAATATTTAATCATCATCTTATAATTTACATATATAATATTTATAATAATTTTGTAGTACTTTTAGTAATTTTATATAAGACATATGTATGTATTCATTAACATACATCATACGTATGTATGTATTTATTAACATACATCTTATATTATTTTAACCAGTTTAATTTTTCTTTGTATGTTGGTAGGTACCTACTATTAAACCGTCTTATAGATAACCAACAGAAAGTTATACTACCTCTAAATAACATCATATCTATCTATTCATGACATACTGCGCAGATTGATTCGCATTTGACTTTATTATTTTAATTAATTCTATTTATAACTTTTTAAATAAATATATATTCTCTAGATATTTTAATTATTAACGATTGTTTCAAATGGCGCGCTTATTGTACCTATTGCGTGCTATATCTGAGGTATTAATGCGCATTTATATACAAATATTTCGTCTTTTGGCGCTAAAAATTAATTTTACCAAAATTCTTGTAATCAGACATGAACTAATCAGTATTTAGAATTAACTCTGTAAAAAATTTATTCGTTCAATGATGAAAATAAACTTACTATTACTGAATCAATCAGAAGAAAACTATACTTCTGACGTGAACTTGTAGAGCGGTGATCAAGCTTTTAAAGACAAATTAAAAATTAATTACCCGATTGCACAATCAGAAACACTTACTCAACTTAAGATGTTCTTTGCGATAAAATTTAATTAAGTCTTCCATATTAGTGTGGTAAAAGGTACCCGTAGTCGTTATCACCTCCAGGTAAATTTCTAAGAAATCTATTGGTAACTGACACGCCGGCGTGTCCGCGGTCGTGGAGGGATTAATGCTATGGTGAGATTATTAAAAAAAAGTGAAACTTACAATGATCACACCGGGTATATATATCCGAATTTACCGATATTTTTTTTTATTATACTGTTTGTATTTCACCCGATACCCGATATGATAGGTACTTTTGATTCATATTTAAAAATAGGATACCAATTTTTGCTGCAAATGTATTTTCTTTTGTTCTCTTTAATACTCCTCTTTTCTTCATTTTAAAGATTTTACAATTTACATATTAATACAATATCTTTAAATAAAAATCTTTAACAATTATTTCAATTGATATTTTTAAAAGATATACCTTTCATAAAGTCTATCCTGTATTATTTGTGAAACTTAATACTGTAAATATGACAGTAGCGTAGATATTAGGTAAATTGCTTTTTATTACGTTCCTCTGTTAGGGCACTTTAATTTTATAATTGAGAAGTGAATAATATATAAGCACTTTAGATTGCTATTATGTATGTATAGTCTTTTAATTAGAAGAAAGTTGAATTTCAAGCAAAATTTCAATTTTCAATTGAAAGTCCTTTACATATTTAAATTGGTCATATTTAAGTATGTCAAATATAAATAGCCTATTAAAGGCGAATAGCCGTAATGGGTTATTGGTTATTTTTTACAAAATATGTGATAATATCATAAGCACCTACTCATAAAAAAAATAGAATGTAAAAAATTAAAGGGGAGTGTTTTTAGGTAGACTATCTAGACAGAAGATACCTAACTTTTAGCTATGCCTGTAATACCTAAATTACTGTGACATACACTCAGACAGACATTAAGTTTTAAATGTTCCCCAAATATAAGCCGAGCTGGTTGTAGAGTACTTACTATTGCTATTTAATGTAAAGTTTATATTATACGGGTAAATATTAAATATAGTATGCAATATTTGTAGTAGAATATCTTTTTAATTTTTATTAGTTAATTTTATAACAGGGAATAGTATAAAATCACAATGTAGACAATACTTATTAAAATGCCATATAATTGGTTAAATATTAGATTTAAAAAGCTAGCTAGTTAAAAGCTTTGAGCCTATTTCCAAACGGTAAGTTAATTTATAGCGCGATGCAGCTCGATTGAGAAGCGAGAAGCGAGGAGCGACGAGTGACGTGCAGTGCGCCCGGCCTTTGTGAGCGACGCGCTGACGTCACACGGCGCATGCGCACGCCGGGACTCCTTACTGCACAGACTACGCGTAACGAGAAGATTATTATTATTTAAGAGTTAAACAATATTGTATAATATTGAATATTGTTATATTATTTGTTATTTCATTGAATTGAATATATATAGGATTAAAATTATAAGTATTAAAAATAATAAACAGTGCTAAAGCAACACTTAGTAAGATTTTGAAGAACATATCATTTTTTTTAACTAAAAAATAAAAATGTTATAAAAAAAAACTTATACGATGATGATTATATGTATATTTTACATAGAATTTAGTGTTACATAATTTAAATGTGTTTCAAAGATACAAAATTTATTGTTATTTAAAATTTAGCTTTATCTGAATAGTTAGGGTACTCTGTGGGTCGCAGTCGTGTCCGCGTCGGCACCGGGGCCGCCAGTCGAGTCACTCGCGTGAGCTACGCGCACGCTACGAGCCGCTACGCTGCGTAGCCGCGCTCCTCGTTCCTCGGTCGTCGCGTCGCACCGTACACTACGCGCCTCACCTGACTGTGTGACTGTGACCCATGAATCTACTAGAATTGTCAGTGTAGCTGTGTCAGTGCTATTCCTAAAGCAAAGTGATTTTACTGGAATATAAGGTGGGTGATGTAGAATAATGACATATTACACTCGGATGAGAGGCAGATTCGAATGTCAAGGACACAAATATTGATCAAACATGTTTTACACTGTGTTATGCTCTTGTGTTTATTTTAAAAGAACTAAGATCCTGACCCTGACACAAGCACGCTTTTCCTCGATGAAACTGAAATCTCATGAAACGAAAATAATAAAGGCGATATTAAAAGTAATGCGACAAAGGAATTGGCATTCGAAGTGGGGTCGGAATAATTTATAACGAAAGGTGCCAGTCTGCGTTACAAGTATCATGAATTTAAAATGTTCCAAGCGTAAATTTAGTAAAATATAGTCTTGTGCATCCATTACGTTAATTTAGCTCCTTTCTATGTACCGGGTTTTACGATACTATAAACAAAAATGACATTTAGATCTATAAAATACAACGAGAAGAGGACGCTTAATCAGTGATTAATACAGACTTAAACATATTTTATATTTTGGTTGGGACATGAGATTTGAAGTAATTATAATAATGGGATTCTGATGTTTTAAAGGTTTTATGTTAATGGCGTCACTGCGTCTGTTTCATTTGTTCAATATTGTTAATGGATTGCTTCTTGACATGAACATTTTTGAAGCTGCTGGTATTCCCAATCCAGCTATTAGTAGTAATAGCTTATAATTAAAAATATTATATTTATATGTATACATGAATATAATATATATTATATTTATTCAGCGTCTCAAACATAATGGCAGATAAAAAAATTTAAGAAAAAAAATGTAAGAAAATATGTTATAATTACAATAATAAAAAAACGGTTTTTGTTTAAAGAAGATGATTAAAGATTGGTATTTTGAGAGGCATTTCTATGGAGCCCCAAGCCCAAGCGGGGTAAAAGAAATATTAGCATGTGGCTCTTTATAATAAAATTTTGTGCTCTTCTTATACAACAGGACAGTTTTTAGGGTTAAAGGGTTAATATGTAGCAGTTTTTGCCTATGTTACGAAAATAAGAAAATTTATCATCGAGAATCTTACTTTCTTTCATTCTATTTTATTTTCATTTATTTTAATACAAGGGAGCTCACCCATGCTTCGCTCGGGTTCGCCTCTAGACAAACAAAAACAAACCTATCCCACGGGAACTGTACATTTTTCCATGATAAAAAGTAACCTTCCTATTACTTTGATGTATGAACTATATTATTGTAAAGTATCATTAAAATCCAATCAGTAGTTTTTGTGTATTAAGCTGTATTAGTTACTATAGTTTTTAACTATTCCACAGGAAATTTGTAATTTTCCGGGATGAAAAGTATACAAAATGTTAACCGGGGATATAAGGTACCACCATGCAAAATTTTATTTAAATCCACCCAACAGCTTTGGAGATTAGCCCATACAAACAGACAAACAGACAGAGAAACAAAAAAATTGAAATAATTCTGGATTTGTTCTATTTCTCTTCTTACATCCCCCTGACTTGGTTTTTAGCATTTTTTTCTTTTTATAGACATTTAACCTCTATAGTTTTATTAAAGAAGATGATTAAAGATTGGTATTTTGAGAGGCATTTCTATGGAGCCCCAAGCCCAAGCGGGGTAAAAGAAATATTAGCATGTGGCTTTTTATAATAAAATTTTGTGCTCTTCTTATACAGCAGGACAGTTTTTGGGGTTAGAGGGTTAATATGTAGCAGTTTTTGTCTATGTTACGAAAATAAGAAAATTTATCATCGAGAATCTTATTTCTATTTTATTTTCATTTATTTTAATACTAGGGGCTCACCCATGCTTCGCTCGGTTTCGCCTCTAGACAAACAAAAACAAACCTATCCCACGGAAACTGTACATTTTTCCATGATAAAAAGTAACCTTCCTATTATTTTGATGTATGAACTATATTATTGTAAAGTTTCATTAAAATCCAATCAGTAATTTTTGTGTATTAAGCTGTATTAGTTACTATAGTTTTAATTATTCCACAGGAAATTTGTAATTTTCCGGGATGAAAAGTATCCAAAATGTTAACCGGGGATATAAGGTACCACCATGCAAAATTTTATTTAAATCCACCCAACAGCTTTGGAGATTAGCCCATACAAACAGTTAAACAGACAGAGAAACAAAAAAATTGAAATAATTCTGGATTTGTTCTATTTCTCTTCTTACATCCCCCTGACTTGGTTTTTAGCATTTTTTTCTTTTTATAGACATTTAACCTCTATAGTTTTATTATATGTATAAATTAACCTTTACAAAACATAATAAAAATCGTGTATGAATTATTATAATTAAACTTATAATTGCCTTAACATCAAAACCATAAATAAGACTACAGAAGCAATCTAGCTTATAATTTCAGACATTTTATGTTTTTTTTATGGTAAACATTTTAAATTAAATTTTAAACTGAATCTTAATACTATTTCTAAGAATTTTATTTCTGGTTAAAATTGTAGAGTTTGCGAGAGCCACTGAACTAAGAAATAATGAGAGTATCATAGTTATAACCCATTATTCAATTTATGAAATTAAAAATCTATTTCTTAATTAATGTAATTAAAATATATATTTAAATTGTTAAAAGGTTTTTAATAGATCAACGACGGTAAATTGACTAGTATATACAGATAAATAAAATTGAAGTGTCCGTTTGTAATGTCAAAGAAATAGCTTTTTACTAAATACATTAGAAAGTATATACATACGGTATTTATAATAAATAAACAATTTAAAAAAAATGTATTTTTGTCTGTCTATTGGTTCTGGCTAGTATCCGAAACGGCGAGACCGATTTTGATGGGACTTTCACTGGCTGATAGCTGATGTTAAAGGTGTTACTCTTATTAAAAAGAGAGGATTAGGGTTCCGCGCAAAAAAAATCCTATGAAATCGACGAACCCACTGAATCGACGCACTCGAGCGAAGCGAGGGCAAGTTGCTAGTTTTAAGTAAATATAGAAAATTATTTTGTAGGCACAAAATATAATTTCAGTCATTTTTTGAGCAAAGATTAAATCCAACAATGTAAAAAAATATTTTCTATGTTTAAATTCAATGTCAATTGCTACATGCAATATTTTAGTTTTAAACGAAATACTGTAGCGCTCATGCATGGCTAGACATTAAATCATTGGTTGAACTGTTGACTGATTTTAACAGTGGATAAAGTAACATAAAAGTAGCATAAAGCGATTATTGATAATAATTAGTTACTGACTAATGATGAATGAAGTCAGTGAATTTCTATTTAAGCAACAACTGTCATCATATATATGCCATATAATATATACACGTATATATGTATATATAAAATCTTGAAATTTTTCATTGTATACACATAAAAGACCCTATATTTACCCTATAAATACGTATCGTATAGATTGCCTCTTGAGTGACATAGTGTCAGAGTCCTTTGAAAATATGATTTCTTCACAGATGTAGAACCCGCTAACCTATATACTCGACTGCGAGGCAACAATGCGTGTATTGTTGTGTTCCTTGCAAAGGGTGATTGTGTCCCTGTTAGTACAGACTAGCGGAAGTTGTCACAGTTCACGGTCTGCTTCTTAAACGTCTCTCTTATATTATTACTAGCAGAACCCGCGGCTTCGCTTGCGCTAAACTTACAAAAAAAACATTTAAATGGTAGGTTTTATACAAACTTTCATCCGCTATTAGACCCCCTTATGGGATGAATTTCGAAAAATGCTCAAACACGTATTTAATTAATTGTATTGAAGAGCATTTATACCAAGTTTTAAGTAATTCAGATCATAAATTATTTTTTGGATTTTATTATAACGTATTTTCCCGTGGAAAAGAGATAATTTCTCGCGGTAAAAAGTAGCCTATGTCACTTTTCAGTTCTCCAACTATATCCACACAAAAAATCACGCCAATCCGCCAAGCCGTTTCGACGTGAAAGAAAGACAAACAAACAAACACACTTTCACATTTAGAATATTAGTATGGATGACGGTATTTTTACGGAAACTGAACTTGATTGGTTATTCTAATTTAGGCATCTGTTCAGTTAACGTCTGAGTGTTATTTAAAGCTTAACCGTTAACTTTGTTTGAAAAATACCAGGTATATGAAGTAATTACTTTTCTAAGCGTCTGCTTAGAAAAAGCCGACTTAGAGAAGTAATTACTTCATATGTCTATATGAAGTAATTACTTCTCTAAGTCTCAGTGCACGAAGCATCTGTAGTTGAATCCACGGTAAATAATAAATAGAAACGTGTCTTAAGGACTTTATACAGACATCCTCGTTTCACCACATCCGGACGACGCAGCGAGATAAATTATTTATTAAGCCTTATATCGTTCAGCGATCACTGTTGCTCTGTTATTTGTTATGAGTGGATCCTATCTTCTGATAATTCAAATTCTACGTTTTTGTGGATGTATAGTATTCTTTTTTTGAAAATAAAGTATTATACTGATGTAGACTATATTTGATATTAATTAAATGTATATGAAGCTTGGTATTCATCACTTTATCTGTATTTGGATTTATTGGAGCAAAATGCTTAACTATCAGAATCGAGTGACTAGTTGTGTCAAATAGACAATACCATCGTTTCTGGAAATTGAATGTGTCCATTAATCGGAGACAAAGCCGCTACCTTTTATCTATCAATACTCGTACTTGGCTCGACGCCGGAGTTATCGTAGCTGTGATTGCCAAATGAATCTCCTAGAATTAGGTTAACATAACTTAATACTGTTATTATGAATTTAAGTGACTCGATAATATATGAAGTAACCCTTTAAGATTTATAGATTTTGCTTTTAGTAGGTTAAACTATTAATTGAATGGATAGTAAGCCATTATTGTTTGATAAATTTGTTATTATCTTACAGACTAATGAAAATAATAGTCAAACTAAAATCATACACAAATATGTCTAAGGAATCTATTAAAAAGTAGTGACTCACCCTCGCTTCGCTCGAGTTCATCCCTAGGTATTATCCCTAGGTATTTTAACGGTTAGTATGAAAGATTATATATTATATATAAATAGGTACAAAATAAGCAGTTCTGAACTTCCAGCTCTTTTTTTGGGTTTTCCCGATTTTTTTATACTTAAAACACCTCTGAACACACCCCCAACAAGAAAAAAAAAGAATTTTTCAAATCGGTCCAGCCGTTTTTGAGTTTTAGCGAGACTAACGAACGACAATTGATTTTTATATGTATAGATTTAGTTTAGAATTGAAATCCCTTTTTAAATAAGAATTAAAATGATGATACAGTATGTGTTTTCTTGCCAGATCATAATTTCTCTATTGAATTTGTTATTAGACATAATATGTGCAGATCAGTTCATTTAGCAGTGAACAACACAAGTTGCCAGATGCGTTTACGGAAAGGGTCTGTTCGCCCATAGGAACCCGTTTGACGTATATGTATGTCTTGAGTTCTCTAGATTATAAGATAATTAAGAGCTGTTAAATAGCTTTAGATTTCTATAATTATTTATAGTATATTTGAAAAACAAAAAGATATTTGTCACCCTGCCTGCGTGTTAAAGAGAATAATTTATAATTTAAATTCATAAATATATAAAAATCTAACTTTGTTTCACCGTAATATATAAAAATAAAAAATATAAACAATAAAATATTAGTAGTAAGCCTAGATAAGATAATCTATAAATAAATTATTTCGATAGAAAAGGTTTTATTTTCGTTTAAAATAGAAGACGTTTTGTAGCTTTTGTTCGCGACGTATATAAAAGTTAAGAATGCTATTGTGAAATAATACCCATACTGTTTAATATGAATTGCTTCTTTGAAGTTCAAATAACGTTTCCCGTGTAAAAGCGTTTGTATCCCTTCTTAAATAAAAACTTCTTCGGTAATATGCTTCAAAGATCACTCAATTTTTATGTTAAGGATAAATGTCACAATAAGAAACAAAACATCTTATATGGAACTTTTAGGGTAAACACAAATAGATTTTATTAGAAATTCTTAACATTAAATAGCATTTTTAACTGAGAAAATATAATTCTTCATTTTAATTACAGCTTAACATTAAATATCGATGTTTCTAACCATACCTAAATTAAAATTATTCGTAATTGATGTATTTTATTAATTGTATTTAATTTCATAGTATCTTAAAGGAATGAGATTTAATATGGACTCCAACATCTAATCATGACTGATTGTAAAACATTTAATAACACTCTTCCTTTATTTCCATACGAAATGCGAAGATAATCCCAGAGTATTCTAAAGCGATATTGTGTGACAAAACGGTAATACTCGGCGGTGACTTCAATTTGTCTTCCTTACATTGGAATTGGAGTGAGAGTGAGCGTCGAACTGCAAAAGAAATATCTTATATATCTTGAAACACTTCGAAATGACCAATACCTGCAATATTTAGTCAACTTGGTTGGATGTATGCAAATACTTTTTTGAATATAGTAATTAGTTTATATACTACTAGCGAATCACCTTCGCTTCGTTCGGGATCGTCCCTAGGTACGTTTTCACGAAAAGTATAGAATAGGTTACATATACATACTAGCACTGCCCGTGGCTCCGCCCGCGTTTACATGACCAAAAAATAAATTCTTAAGTTTTACATATTAGTACACTCTTACATTGCAGTTTTTGTAATATTTTCTCAGAAATGAGATATTTTCCAGCGGTAAAAAGTTATGATATGAGGTAATATGCAGGATAATGTTATAGATAGATAAGTGTTAGCAAAAACATATTTAATCCGTAAGATTAGGTTAAGTTGCATTTAAAAGTCGCTAGAAAGAGTGGGTTTCCGCATAATTTACAACATTTTTACGTTAAGTACCGTCAAGCGGACATTTAGATGGAAATTGAAAAAGTTTTATTCCCTAAAGATATATCAAGTGTTTTAAAGTTTTTTTTATATTTGTGACTTAGCCAAATAACAGAAAATTTCTTCGTCAGATGAAGACTTATAAATTTAAGCGGAAATGTAGGCTTTTATTCGGTAGGTGGTTTCAGTTTTATAATTTAAAACCACCAAGTTTAGGCAGTTATACAAAAAAAAACGTAAATCTAATACACCTACCTAATTTAGCAAATTTGTTATCCACACATACTTGAAAAAATCAATCTGTATATGTGTACCGTTCTGTACATAATAGTAGTTCTGTACATGGTAGTACGTAGTTCAAAGCTGCAAAATATGTATAATAAGTATAGTCAAAACGCCATCCATACACGAGTCTGTTTAAACGATAATAGGTTTGATGTGCGGTGAAAATGCTATTGATATTATGGCCCAAAATTATTTTGATGATGACGACAGGCGCAAATTGGGCTTAATTTAGAATTTTAGACACTAATACTCGCATCGGCTATTTCCTCTATGATTAGAGAAATTGTTTTGTAATCTCACATACGGGAGCTTATCTGGCTTCTATTGACGATATATTTACCCGGCAATGTGAGGCATTGCCTTTCGAATAGTTATACGCTATAATATTATACGCATAAAATGGCTATCGGTTAATTAAATGATAACGTTAATTTCGTGTTATAAAATATTTTACATTAACTTGTAGGATGAGACTAATAAAATTTCGAGATATTCCTTGCATATATTCTTATATTCAGTACTTTTGCAACATAAAATGAATTATTTTATGATCATCAGTACGTTTGTCCATGTGGAAGCTACCGCCTGCTTCGAAAGCAGTTCTGCTGAGAGGTCATATATCTAAATGCCTTATACATAACTCATTACAAATTAATCAAATATATTATTTCCCATTAAAACGTTCCTATATAAAAATACAACCTTACAAACTTATAAACTACTAGCAGAACCCGCGGCTTCGCTCGCGCTAAACTACAAAAAAACTCTAAAAAGGTAGGTTTCATACACACTTTTATCTTACCTCCTTGTGGGATGAATTTCGAAAAATGCTGAAATACCTACGTATTTATTTAACTGTATTGAAGAGCATTAATACCAAGTTTCAAGTAATTCTGATCACAAATATTATTTTTAGTTGCATTATAACGTGTTTTCAAAGAAAGAAAGAAAGACTAACAAACAAACACACTTTCACATTTATAATATTAGTATGGATAGCATAAATAATAAATTAGCGGTTACTTTATATTCGTCTGTTTTGTTTTTTTTTTAATTTGACACACGCAATTATTAACTAAACAATTTTGCCACTCCTTTTCAGTCTCATGCTAAAAACTTACAAAATCATATGCTTAAAATGCTAAATAAAACTATTTTTTCGGAATTATTTCCGCGAATTTATTTTAACTTTTGGATCCCGATGTTTCGAATTGCGAAAATACGAAAAAAACCGTAAAGATAGTTTTATTTAAAATGTAAAATATTCTCGTAAATCTAAGAACGTATTAAGTCATAT